GGGAGGGGAGGGTGGGTGATGGGTACTGAGGAGGGCACCTGTTGAAATGAGCCCTGGGTGTTGTATGGAAACCAACTTGACAATAAATTTCATATTTAAAGAAAAAAATCATTGCTTGATTTGGGATCCCTATCACTATGGGATCAGATAATAGGCCAGCGTTCATGGCTGATGTGGTGCGGCTGGTGGCAAAGGGGTTAAAGATCACCTCAAAGTTACACACGGCATACCAACCCCAGAGCTCCAGGAAGGTAGAATGAATGAACCAAACCCTGAAGCTACAATTAGGTAAACTATGCCAGGAAACCCACCTACACTGGGACCAGGTGTTGCCAAATGCCTTATTAAGTAAGAATCAGGTATAGCACCACTAAGCAGATGGGGTTCTCCCCTTATGAAATCTTTATGGGTGCCCTTTCCCAATTATCAAGGGCATAAGGGGGGGACCTAAATGAGATAGGCAATCTAACCCTAAGGCAAGAGATACAGACCCTTGGCTCTACCCTAACCATCTTACACCACTGGGTTAGGGAGTGATTACCTGTGAGTCTGACCACAGAGTCTCACCCCTTTGAACCAGGAGATGCTGTATGGGTGAAGAAGTAGAATGTCCAACCCCTAAAATCCCTCTGAAGGGGCCCGTTCACTGTCATTCCGTCCACCCCTACTGAAGTAAAGATAACCGAGGTGGGTCTCTGGATTCACCACAGCAAAATGAAGCCAGCATCTTGAAACTGGGAGCTGATTCATCAATGCCGTGCAAGCTGACCATATGGAAGAAGCAATGTGCAACTCCAGAGGCTCTGGGAGACTGCAGCCCTGCAGTGACTGGGGACAGTCACTCCGGACGCTGACTAATCTACACACAGCAGAAGCTTGAGAAATCAATGGTCTGGTGGAACAGATAGACTGTCCCTATTTTCTATATCTGTTCCCTTACTGTGAAGAGCTGTCACCCGTTGTGTCTTGCCATCACTGTGATTCTTGCTCTACTTTTTTGCCACAGGATTGGCAGAGGCCGCCCTGGCCAGATGGCAGTATGGTGAGAGATTTCTGCTAGCACTCACCTTCCTTTTGTGGATAGGATGCTTCATTGGTATCGGTTGCTTCTAATCTGGACCCTTTCTGTAGACCTAGATTCCTCATCATGTGACCCATGTATTCACATAACCAAGTCAGGCCAGGGAGTCACTTGGACCTTACTATACCATACTCACTTCTTATGCCAAGGAAAAGTCCTGGGGACCTGCAGACATAATAAGACCACATATTCTATCTGCCAATGGGAGAGTCAATATACTTGCTTTGACCCACAATACTCCCCCAGTGAAGATTGTTTAGAAGTCCGATCCTACCAAGAGTAGGGGGCCTTGGTCAGCTAGACACAAATTATTAACCCAAAACAACAGGTGTCAATGCTGTTTGACATATGTGTGGTTATAGGTATTGGCCCAGAGGCATGTCATATGAAAAAAGTGGGCACTTGTCATAGAGGGCCCAAGGACTCTTGATATACCATGCAGAGGCTTAGATTAGGAGCAGGAATACTGACTCAATGACAAACACGTGTGTGAGGAAAATGGTTTTGGTGCCTATACACCTGTGTTTTTATGCCCTAGCAGGAGCTGTGTTTCATGGAGTACTTGGGAAAAAAGAAGGCACGACAGCATTCTTTCAGAAGGGAGTGACTACACCAAATTGTCAGTTGGGGACCTGTAATCCGGTTAATTTTACTACTCTTAACCTGGGAGACCCCTGATGGAACAGTAGCTGGCAGATGGGGATATATATCCATGGACGGGGCACAGACACAGGAACAGTGTCGTATTTTAAGAGAGTTATTGTCACACATAAGGCCACAACTCACCAGGTCTTTCATTCCTTTTATGAAGAAATGGAGAAGGGTCCTCCTCCTGTCTGTCACGATGAAAAATCTATTTCTAGCCCTAGCAGAGACTATAGCCCAAACTCTAAAGATCTCTTCTTGTTATGTATGCAAGGGAACCAATATGAGGGATCAATGGCCATAGGAGGCTAGAGAATTAGATCCCTGAGAACCTTATAATGGAACAGAATGCCCCAACCCTACTACTGGGGTTTGGCTCCTCAAAACCTCAATTACTGGAAAAAAAAAAAAAAAAAACAACCTGCCTTGCCCACGGGGAAAGGAAGTTCACCATCTCTGTTGGAAGCTTAACATGCCTACCTAGGCCAAAGATTTTATAACTCAGGAAACCCAATGGTGGGGAACCCCAGATCACCTTGAGCCAGATCCCCACCCCTTGTCTAACTTCTCTCAACTCCAAGAGGCCTGGGACATTGTCGACACAGTCATCAAATGGTGGGCCCCAGGTGGACTATACTGGATATGTGGAAGGACAGACTACACAACACTTCCCTCAGGCTGGTCAGGATCATGTGTGCTGGGAACTATTTGTTCATCTTTCTTCCTGATCCCACTTGCCAGAGGGGAACATTTGGGAATCCAAGTGTATGGGGACAGGGAGACTCAAAGGAAACAACATGCCCTACCAATTGGCAACTGGAAAGATAATGAATGGCCTCCCAAGTATATAATCCAATATTATGGCCCTGTCACCTGGGCAGAAGATGGATCCTGGGGCTAATGCACTCCCATCTGCATGCTAAACCGCATAATCAGACTGCAAGCAGTTGTACAAATTATAACCAATGAAACTGCCAGAGTTCTTAACTTACTAGTCATGCAGCAAACTAAAATGAGCAATGTTATCTATTAAAATTGCTTGACGTTAGATTATTTGCTTGCTTCGGAGGGAGGAGTTTGTGGAAATTTTAACCTGAGCAACTGCTGCCTACAGATAGATGATGAAGGAAAAGTCATACAGGCGATAAATCGAATGAGAAAGGTTGCTCATGTCCCAGTCCAGACCTGGAAAGGTTGGGACCCCAGGGAGTTATTTGGAGGATGGTTTTCAACTCTTAGGGGATTCAAAATCCTCATAGGTATTATTCTCTTAATTTGGTGACCTTGCTTAATCCTACCTTCCCTAGCTCCCCTGGTTATGCAGTCTGTCTCCAGCCTCACTGACGTAATGGTCAAAAAGAAAACAGCCATGCATGTGATGATGTTATGGAAGTATAAATCCCTAACCAAGATGATGCTCTGTGACCCAAAGTAAGGGGTCCGAGCATCAATAGGGGTAATGTGGTAGAGTCCCTCCCTAAGGAATATCGTGAAAACCTAAAGCCAAGGGAAGGCGACCTGGCTACGTGCAGGTGTGCAACATTCCTCACAACTCTGCAACAAAGACCATCCATTCAGACTTTGAATGTTACTATATATGGGAGACAAAGGAGCAAAACTTGTACAAAAGGAAAACCCCCACTGCGCTAGGGGCTCAGTGTTTTGGGTACAAACCCAGTGAGCCCATGCCAGCACAATGAGTGAAGTTGCTTCCTGGACAGAAAAGGTTCAGTGTCCTGTCTCTCTGTGCAAGAATCCTGCTACAAATTCATCATCAAAAACTTTCCTATAAAGAAAACCCCAGAAGTGCACCTGGGTGGCTCAGTCAGTTAAGAGTACGACTTTGGCTCAGGTAATGATCTCGCAGTTTGTGAGTTAGAGCCCCAAGCTGGGCTCTGTGCTGACAGCTCAGAACCTGAAGCCTGTTTCAAATTCTGTGTCACCCTCTCTCTCTCTGCCCCTCCCCTACTCATTCTCTTTCCTCTCAAAAATAACCATTAAAAAAAGAAGAAGAAAAAAAAAAAAAAAAAAAAAAAAAAAAAAAAGAAAACTCCAGACCTAGTGGTTTCACTGATAAAAACTATCAAAGATTTAAGGAAAAATAATACCAACCCTGAAGCCTGTTTCAAAGTCTGTGTCTCCTTCTCTCTCTGCCCCTCCTCTACTCACTCTCTTTCTCTGAAAAATAAACATTAAAAAAAGAAGAAAGAAAGGAAAAAAAAAAAAACTCCTGACCTAGTGGTTTCACTGATAAAAGCTATCAAACATTTAAGGAAGAAATAATACCAAGCCTACATGAATTATTTCAGAAAACAGAAGCTGTGGGAAGACATCATGACTATGTGGGGTTTATAAACTCTGCTGTGCAAAGGCAGTTTCCCTTTCAAAACTCAATCACTGTAAATCACATTAAAGTAAAAAGAAAAACCATGTATTTATCTAAAAAGATGTAGAAATCATTGACAAAATTCAATACCTATTCATGATTTAAAAACCTCAACAAACTAGAAATAGAAAGGACCTCTTAATAAAGGAAAACAGGGTGGGAGGGATCACCTAACATTACACTTAATGATGAAATATACAGTGCTTTTCCTCTCAGACCAGTAAATAAAGGAAAAATGTCTCACTCATTTTGTCTATATAACAATGTTCTAGAGGTCCTAGCCAGTGCTATAAGACAATAAGGCTAAAGAAATAAGCGGCATAATGATTGCAAAGGAAGTATTTCCATTTGCAGATGTCATGACTGTTTATATAGAAAATCCTAAGGAATCTACTAAGCAACTAATAGTACTAATAACTGAATTTAGCAAGATATCATTATTCATGGTTAATATACAAAAAGTATCTACTTTAAATTCTAGTGGGAAACAATTAGTCAAATTTTTAAAAGTTCTGTTTAAGAATATCATTATAAAAACCAAAATACTTAAAACATACATTTAATAAAAACAACATACAAGACTTCTTGAAAACTTTAAAATATAACAGAGAAGGCAAAAAAAAGAACTAAATAAGTGAAGAACTATACAGTCTATGGGCCAGATAATTCAATGTTATTGAAATATCAATTCTCCCCAAATGGAAGAGTAAGTTATACAAGCTTATGTAAAGAAACTAGCAAGCTGATGCTAAAATTCCTACAGATCTTCAAAGAACCTACAATAGCCAAAACAGTTTTAGGAGGGGAAAAGTTTTTTAACTTTTTTTTAACTCTTACAGAACATGACTTAAAGACTTATTATGAATCTACAGTAATCAAGACAGTGAGTTGCTGGCATAAGGATAACCTAATGAATGAGAAGAACAGAGTTCAGAAATGGACCCATGCTTATATAACCAGTTGATTTTTGACAACACAACAAAACAATTCAAGGGAAATAAAAACATTTTCATCAAATGGTATTGAAATAATTCAGTTTCCACATGGGGGGGAAAAAGAATATAAATGTAGCCTCACACCACTTACAAAAATTAATTCAAGATGGATCACATCTAAACATAAAATTATAAACAATAAAGAAGATAAAATAAGAGGGCATCTCTACACATAGAGTTCTTCTCCAACATGGCAAACAATAACCATACATTGAAAAACCTGATATTTTTAGACTTCACCAAAATTGAAACTTTCTTATCAAAAGAAAATAAATAGGCAACCATACGCTGGCAGAAAATATTCTCAATAGATTTATCTGACAAAGGACTTTATATCAAAAACATAATTTTTCAACTTAAGTAACCCGATTTTTAAAAAATGAGCAAAAACTCTGAAAATCCTCTTCATAAAAGATGAACTCAGAGTTTTTAATAAACATATATATGACATATATGATGGACAGATACACAGATAGGCAGATGTATGTATCCGATAGATTGTGAATGTGTGTTTCCTAGCTCTGTACACAATGAGAGAGGCTACACGTAATATTACATAAGTGGCAATGAGCATACCTAACTTCTAAGTACCATCATCCAATAAAGGGAACCAGAATCCTTGGGAGAAACTGCTGATTCCAGGGCCAAAGCAGGACAACTACAAGATAAACCTAAATCATTTTGTTACATCAGTAGGGAAGTACTCACCGAAGGGGCTCCCATTACCCAAATCTGAGACATTTGGACATCAA